AAGCCTAAAAACAGGTGCATATGCATAAGTGCATCATCATGATTTGTTGAATATTGCATGAAAAAAAAAAGCTGTCAAATGAGAGGCGCAGTGTTTAAGAAAAACAGGGATTCCTTTCCGCATGACAAAAACGATGCTATGTACAACAATTAGATTTATACTGTAATAATGGGGTGATGTAAAAGGCGTGGATCTATCCGGTTTCTCTATTTATAATTCAATTTTAATACATTATTTTTTTTTATATTTTCTATATTCATATTAAAATAAAATAAATTTCTCACGTTTTATTTTATCCAGTTGACCAATAACTGAACTATAAACTACATCGAAAACGTCTCCAAGATTTTGTTGAAAAATTATGCCTGATCCAATTCATTCGCAACATCTTATTAAAATAATTGATTGGGAAATTTGTTTATAATAAGCAAGAACAATATTTCAGTAAATAAAATTTAATAGACAAATAAACAAATTTCATATATTATTTGAGTGAGGTCTTGGATAATATATCCCATTCTCTCTCAACTTAATTACCTATAACACTACATAATGATGCAATTCTGGCTTTAGGTTTGCTTTTGATCCAAAAAAGTTTTTGCCTTTTTTTAATAGTATTTCCATTTTATCGTCCTTTGTTTGGTGAAATAATAACTTTTGCTCTCTACTACAATTTTCAAAGAATTGCTTTTTTGTAGAAGGTGATGAAGCAGTAGAGTTTATCGGTGAAATTGGAGATGAGCTTGTGGTTGTTGTTCCATGATTCAATACGATCCGTTTATTAATTAAATTGCTATTATTATTATTGCTATTATTACTATTATTACTATTAATATTATTGTTATAATCGTTATTATTATTAGAATTAGAATTAAAATTAGAATTAGAATTAGTAGTTAAATCGCCAAGATTGCTATTATTTTTTTTTTTAATGTCAATATACGAAGGATCTTCTTCAAACTGTTGGCGATAATGGAAAGGAGGCTTGAGAGGGGAAACTGGAGAAAATTGTCTGGAAGCACGAAAACTTTTCTTTCGTAACAATCGCTGTAAAGTTGGTTGGTGCTGTGTTGAATGAGAAGGTAAAGGTTGATTTTGTTGTTGAATCGACGCATTAACGGAAATTGGACTTGGAAGAGAAGTATTTCGTGTTTTATTATTATCTATTTTACTGATATTTATTTCTGCAATTAAATCTTTTGGTCTCTGTGAAGAAACCGATGCGCGCCTATGCAAGATCTGATTTATAGCAGTGAACGTCTGTTTTGTGGAAGAACTAGAACCATCTCCATTAGTACTTCTTCGTTTCCTTGTAAAAGGCTCTCGTTCTTCGTGCTGAAGGTTGTTAATAGTTGAATTTTGGGTAGAACTTCTCTTATTATCACCACTGCTACTACTAACATTATTGAACTTTCGACTGGATAAATCCTCCAAAAAAAGTGGATGTCCACAGAAAAGTTAGTATGTTTGTAAACTAAAAGTAGAGAACGGTTGTGTTACATATCCGTGCTTTTTTTTCGTGAGTCCTTTTTCCGCTTTTAAATTTCCCAACTTCCGTGTGTTACATAAACAACTTTGATTGTATTAATTAACTTATGTAACCGAAAAACTTTAGTACTTTTTATTCGAAAAAAAAAAATTGGAAATAGTGTGCCTTAGCGAACATAAATAATTAAAACAAATTAAAAAACACTATACATAATCATTAATATTAGCAGAAATTAAAAATTCATTGTTTTATATAAATAAATTTATCTGGCGCAGCTATTGTATTATCGCTTTAATGATAGAAGATAGAAAATTGAAAATTGCAGTCAAATTTTAATACGGTAAGTTTATTATTATTATTTTTTTTAAAGAGGATTCTAATTACAAGGATACGGATCGGCAGAAGCATGTGAATTAATATCAGAGACCCGGGTCTCTGTGTCCCGTTTATTTTGAAACAGCTGTAATTTTTTTCTTTTTTATTGATATGGGCCGGTGCAAAAAGATTCGTACATCAGATATTGCATCGATAAAAAAAACTTTATTATGTACATCATATCACATGATCATTATCAGAACTATCATAAGCGTCAAACGTAAGAATTGGGTATAATTTTAGAAGTTTTAGAAGTGAAGTGTCACGTTCACTTCAATGGTTAAATGACAAAATTGACTAGCAACTCATATACTTACTTTATTTCAATAATTTCTGTTTTTTTTTATTATATTGTTACACATACGACAGTTAATTAATCACATGTTTCATGCTATCTAGTTTAAATTATTTAATTTTTTATGTAAATAAACATCAGTGATGAATTGGTATAGTAGTAACAACGCGGGGCATGGTGCGAAAAAACGGCATGTTTCGGGTTCAGCTGCTACTGTACTCAATTTCACATTTTTTTTTATTGTTTATTCATCCCGTGATCTTAATAAGGTCACATGATTCATGATCACATGTCATATTTTTAAATTTTTATTGGCTACTTATGTCGATCACAATCCCACAATTTTTTGGAAGTTGAAATTATCACGGTATATAAGGTTAGCTTCAGTATTATGATAACTTCCCATTGTTATAAGAATGCTAATGGCAAATGGTTGAAATAATGAGGGTACCCTATGGACTGATTGAGAAATGATGAATATCTAGCAAAAAATGGGTGGAGAAGAGCAAGTAAGCAGGAGTTGGTACCTTGGACCAGTACCGTAGCCACTTCCCTGTCTGAAAGAAGCATCCTTCACCTCTGAAGAAGTCCTTACAAGTATATAAAAATTAGAGGTAAATTTGAATACTTTTTGTCAAATTCTTAAAATGAATGGCTGTTCAAGGGTGAAGCGAAAGAAGCCATTTGATATCAAATTTTTATATCCGATAGAAGAAAGAAATAATGGAAATACATAGCACTACAACTCTAAGAAAATTAAAGTAATGTTTGTGGTGATCATTTGGTAGGTAAGAGTATTTCATTTGAAGTGTTTTACTTCTTAAGGTATACATTTACCGTATTGAAGAAAGAAGCTTTATCAGTGGCAAATATTAGAATTACTATGATCTAACTACAAAATACTCTTTATCAAAAAGATATAAGGAACGCTTTGAGGTTTTGATAAGTTTTGACATTTTGCCAAATTTCTTTTAAAAACAAAGTCGCATAAAGTTTCGAAAAGTGACTAAACCCATTAAAACCTTTGATATGCAAATGAGATTTTTAATCATCCCTCAAAATAGCATTCCCTTGTTCACATTTTTATATATCCTTTTTTCTGAATCTTTGATTTAGGTCAGAAATTAATCTCAAATCAAACTGTTAAAATGCATTAAATCTTGCAAATTTAGTTAATTTAAAATCGTAAATTAAATCTTTCGAAACTGTTGAAACTGTTAAAACAGTACGTCAAAATTGTCCAAACTATTTTTGAAAAGATTCAACTTTGTTAAAATGATTAAGGTTTTACGCATAACCTTATTCTGTGAAACTATTACAAAAAAACTTTTTTTTAGTTTAAGATCTTAATCAGAAGACCTTTGGAATCATATATTTGGAAAATTTACCAGATTAGTTACACATTTATAGGAGAAATATGAAAATACTTATCAATTAATACATTTCGCAATTATATATTACCAAATATTAGAAATTCTATTGCAACACTATTCTGCAATGGTTGGAATAGCTAGTATTTCATGAAATGAAAGTATCAAAATAAGAGGAAAGAGACGAATTATGAGATATAGAATAGATTTAGAAATGATATATAATTAAACATTATCTGAGAGGGTAAGAGATATTCGAGGTAGTGATTATTATATGTGACTTTTGATTCAGATGATAATAGCTTTCAGGTATTAATAACTTCAGATGGTTTTCTTCGCATTTATTTTTATTTTTAAAAAAAATGTTCTTATTAATATCATTTAAGTTTATTTACAGTATATATAAATATCCTTTCTATAACACATAATTTTTTTATTTCAGGCTGGAGTAGCAAGTTATATAATCCAGGTGTGATGTATTTATATTTTGGCATAGATCTCTAGTCTCTAGGATTGAAAAGCATCTCAAATAATAATGTTTGGTTGACGCAGATAATAAATTTTTCTTTTCATCAATCACTAAAACGCAATGATATTCTAAATGTTCAAATAAAAGTGAAGAATGTAAAACTGAAAAGAACTTTATAGAAGAGAGTTTTGTTATTAAATACAATTGAGGATAAAGGAATTAAGTTAAAAGAATGGCATATATATCTGCAGATGCAAAAGAAATTTAAGAAGAAAGATTTTTAAAGGGTATAATCTTTATGGAAGTTGGAAACCATCTCCTAAGATCATGAAGGATATTTTGAATTCATGTTACAAATAAATCATGCAATTCCAATATGAAAATTTTAAGAGGATGAGCTTTTAAATATTTTAACAACATTTTATAGAAAGGTGTATTATAAAATACAGATTTAGATTGTAATTAGATAATAAAATATATGGAGCATTACAATATGCTGACTCAAATGGAGAATTATTTACTTCAATTTCTGATGTCTTTTATTTAGTATAATTATAACAGTAATATCAATTAGCAATGCAGGAATATATTCTCTATATCAAATTGTGAAAGAGCTAGGCAAATTATAAAATCATTGGCATTAATTCAGATAGATTAGCAGAAAGTATTGAGAAGACTATTTTGTTGGTTAGATTTAAAAATGAAACCCAAGATTTTAAAATAAAATGGATGCCAGACCAGAATGTTAGGACAAAATGATCAAAGCTTAGAATTTTCAAATGGTTTATATTTAATTTATTGTAAAAGTAATATCTAACATAATAAATTATATTACAATTAATAAAGGTAAGGTATGATAAATTATTTACATACCAATATAGTAAATAATTAATAGCGATTATTTAACTCTATATTATTGGGTATGTTTGAGACTTTTTTGATTATACCTGCATCTACAATAATTTATTATTAAATATTTTCATGAGTTTTTTGATTAAAAATTTTTTTTCATTTTCTCTTTATTAATTTTTTCATTATTATAATTTTTATATAACTATGTCTACATTATCTGAATATATTATTGATTTAGAAGAATTTGATGAAACATTAGAATATGATCCTTTTGTAAATAGAAAAGTAAAAAAAATGTGCAGTTAAATAAATTTATTAGCCAAAATTTATAAGATTTTTTATAAGAACTTAAAAATAAAAATTTTTCTTATTTAGGTAATGAATACTGAAGAAATAAAACAAGATGACAAATAATCTGAAAAAGTTGTATTTATTGGAAACACTTTAATCAAAGATGTTAGACACACTTTAGTTCTTATTGAATATCCAGAAACTTTAGATGAAATAATTGCATATGTATACCATGTGGAAAATTGGACAAATCCTAAAGTAGCATTTCACAATGTAAGTTTTGAATTAATTAAACTATTTATAAAAGAAATTAATTAGTGATTAATATTTATTAAAAACAGATTACAATATTTACTCTGTAAATGAAGTGATGGTTTTCCTAATATTAGATGCTCATTTTTTGGCAAATATCCAGATGATTCAGAAAATAAATGATAGGTTTAGATTATAAAAGTAATAAACATTATAGTGGTATTAAAGCTTACAAGCTAGCTGGTTTAGATATCTTAAAAGCATTACTTTCTGATATAGATCTTGAAACTGATCCATTTATTTGTAAAAATAATTTTAATACTACTTCATCTAATATACTTACAAGAGTACTTATACAAACATAAGTTATAGTTTAGTTTTATGTTATTTTCTGAATTTATTATTTAAATAATAACTTTTATTATAAATACTCAATATTCTTATCCAAATAATACATATACTTGTAATGATAAATCAAAAATTAAATATTATTTAGTTCATGTTACAAATCAATGAAGTAAATTTATAAGATGTGATAAATAAAATCATAATGAAAAAGATCATATGTCTTTGTAAATTAAAGCTAATGTAAATATTAACCTTTTAAAATTGCTTTTTGTAAATAAAAAAAGAATTTTAAATTAAGAAATACGTATTATTAATATATTATTATTATATTTATATTAATTATATATAATAATATAATAATATTATTATTTTGAAGGATAATACAATTTGCAATACATTATATTCTTTAAGCAGTTACAAAAAAATATTGTGATATATTAATTTTATTAATTAATTTTATTAATAAAATGAATATTTAATTTTTTAAATCAAAAATATTAATTCTTTTTTATTAAGATACTACTTATTTTTTTAAGTCTAACTTAATAATTAGAATTATAATAAATTATTCGTTCAGTTAAATTCAAAATATTTACATCTTTAAATTTACAAAGATATTTATTTATAATCTTAATATGTAAAGAAATTCATACACATTCATTAGAATCATTATCTAAAACTTCTTTCTGTATTAATCAAAATTAAAAAACCTTATTAAAATTACTAAGGATCAATTTATTTATATAATTGCATAATAGTTAATATCAAATTAGTTTAACTTACTTTTTTACTTTTATTTTTTTTTAGATTATTAATTACTCAAAATATTTTAACTAGGCAATTTACTTAAAAGTATATTTAGAAAAATATGATTGATAAAATACATTTATCTCTTAATAATATTAATAAACTCAATACTTAATTGTACATATTCAAAATTAATAAAATTTACATATCAGAAAATTCTTGGAGTAATATAAATTTTTATCAAAATACTCAAGAAATAAAAAATTAAATTATATATAAAAAATTAATAAGTAAAAATATTTATATATTTATTAATATTTTATAATATTATTATATTTATATATATTGCATTTTAGATTAATGATAAATATATAATGATATTATAACTAATAAGCAAGCAGTAAAATGCACTGAATTTAATTTTTTTGAAGTTGATTTTTATTTAAAAAGTTTAAAGTAATATTAATTAATTGGAATTTAATGCATATAACTAGAGTTACAGTTTGCGGAAGTCTCTCATTTAGCATTAAGTGATTGATTGTATAACAATTTATTTAAACTTTAAAATTTCATTTATTATAAATAAAATATAAAACTAAAATTTTTTGAAAACATTTTATTATAATAATAAAAAAAGAGGTTTAGTTTTTATTAATTAAATTAATTTTTCTAATTTAATTTTTCATTTCAGTTAATTTTTTTTAATAATTGTATTTTATTTTAATAATTGATTTTTTTCAGTTATATACAATTTTTTTCATAGATTTTTTTAAATAGCAAATTAAACAAATGAATCAAGTAAATAAATTTAATTAAATAAATATGATAAAAAAATAAATATATAAATGAATATTAATTAAAATCTTATAAATTTTTAATAATTGCAGTATCTATATCGACAATTTTAATCATTTTTTTATTTTTGGCGAAGTTGCAGAATTTTTTTGCTTGATAAATTTTGTAATCAACTGACTATTACAATTATTCAGAGCAAATTCATTTATCTTATTTTTATTGAGAGGGATAAATTTAATCTGCTTTTAAAAAATTTGTCAAAAAAGTCATATGTGCATATAAATTGTCACTTGCCATTAGCATAGCACTATAGTACATAATATATTGTACATAAGCATAATTTTAATTATTTCACTAAGAAATATATACTAAAAGATTTTTTATATATTATATAATATAGTATTATTTTTCATAAATTCAAATCTAACTATTAACACCCATCCCTAAACATCCTGTATCTCTGTATTTAATCCATAATTAATATATTTAACTCTCTTTGCTGAAGGAGTGAATTCTGTTTCACTCAAATATGACTTGACAGCTTTTCTAGGCAAACGGAGTAAAGATGGTAACAATGCTCCATTTCGTGTGTCTGTTGTCCTATTAACCAAGCCGATATGCAAATGAGTCATATTTACCTCATCCTCTGATAGGTAGTATGCAACTGTAAGCATTCAATTGTATTCAAAAACTATTTCTACTACCACAGTTACTGCATCCTTATGTATTGCAAACCATCATTCTCAAATTCGGTTATAAAAAATAGAAATTGTTGAATAAAAGATTTATAGCAGAGATTTATAGCAGAAATTTCTTTTTAAGTAATAAAAATCGATCATGTACATTGATAAATTAACTAAATAATTACTGCATACCCTTACGCTGCTGATTGTTTTAATTCATCTAAAAGTAAGCGTCTGAGTAATTTTTATTGTATAGTCACGTTTTTAGTCATGAGATAACGAGTGGCACGTCGGATGGTATAAACTCTCTATTTTTTCAAGCCTTTTGAACCTGTAGAATTTAATAAAAGGAAAGAAGAAGTTAGAGGAAAGTGTTGACTTTACAATAAAATAAAACCCACTAATGTCTACAACGGGAATTCAAAGATTTTGATTGAGAAAAGAACAACTCCTCGAAGGAAACTTTCACGTGTAAGAAAACACTTTAAAGAGGATAGATAGGAGCGACTGTATCCATGTACTAAATCATTGCTCAGCTTAATACTAAAGAATACCACCAGAAATGCTTCTCCTTAAGCTAAAACCTTTTACTAGCCATTTAATTAAACAAAGCAGTTCATGAAAGGATGTGAAACACGACCGGACAAACAGAAACTAAAATGTATCAATAATTATTCAACCCATACTATGTCCCTTTAGCATTCTCCTAGGAATAAAAATAAAAATAAATAAAAAAATACTTCCCATCATATTACATGTATTCGCACTAATTACCTGAACGCGAAAATTTGAACATTAAGGATCCCACTATCTGCTAAATTAGAATGATAAAAGAAAAAAAAAGGTCATTATTTTGAATGAGCTTTTTTTTACTTAGGGTTTACCGAGAAAATTACCATATGTTTTGATCCTTATAATTGCATATTTTTATGGTAGGGGACGCTTTTTTTAGATTAAAGTACAATAATATAACGATTGTCAAATACACAGTTTTCGTGCCTAAAATACCAAAATTCCAAAATTTAATAAGCCATGTTTAGTTTATAGAAAATTTTTTGTTGTAAAAAAAAAGGGTGAACTTTTAAGAAATTGTCTGATCACCTGGGTTGAATGAATAATAAAAAAAAAAAAAAATTTTGATATTTTTTTTTTAAATTGGTATAGTAGTATCCGAACACACCATAATCTAGCGTTGTTACTACTACACCAATTAATCGTTGTTAATTTACATTAAAAAATTAAATAATTTAAACTAGATTGCATGAAACATGAGATCAGATATTTTTTGGTTATTTCATTGATAGTTTATGACGTAACACTGAAAAACAACTATGATGAATTATTTTTACTTTTCTTTATATTTTTTCGTTGAATTTTTACTTACAAATATTTTAAATATAATTTTTTCATTTGATAAAGTTACTATTAATAATAAAATAATAATACGATTATTAATTCTTTTATCTATTTTTTTAACAATGCCTTTATGTAAAAATTGTAAAGTCGTCCGTCCTGAAACATCATTTAACTTACCGTCAAAAAAATATCAACCTAAAAAACTTTCTACTAACCTTTAGCCAGTATTAATATAAACTAGATTCATGATCATGGCCGGCCTTAATATTTGAAAGTAACAAGGTATATGTAAAGATTATGAATTGGAAAGGAGTGTGATGCTTTTTGTTTTAAATGAAAATATTCTTTAATTACAACTGGATCCACAATATATTAATTTTTATCTATTTCACATTTTGAACATTATTTTCGAACGGATCATTACCACTGACTAAAATTCTTATTTTTTTTGATTTTTTGTTTTATTGTTGTTATTTGTCTTTAATAAATAATTTCTTTTAGTTTTTTCTTTTAGGTTCAATCGGTTCCCTATCTTAGGCTAAGAAACTTTGAATGGAACGGTCTGGTTCGTCACCGCGGCGAAGGTAAGCTGACTTTCTTTTTTATTTTTATTTTATTTTTATTTTTAGGTTTGATCAGTTCCTTATCTTAGGCTAAGAATCGGACAGAAGTTTTGAACGGAACTGATGGTTAGTCACCGCTGTAGAGTAAATGAATATTATGGTAATTTATTCTATATCATTACAAAGAAAGAAAGTAAGAAATACGTATTTAAATATTTAAAAAATTAATATAGATGTATAAATCAATGCTTAGTTAGTTCACCCTTACTTTAAAATAATTTGAAAGGATTTATTTGAAGCTAAAGTTCGTCGTAAATATGGAAAACGGTAACACAAAATATTCATGTGCGCACGGAATATTTTTACATTAGGGTCTTTACCAACTTTCACAGTAACATCATCATCCAGTAATTCAATGTAATTTTGACTTGACTTCGATAAAAATTGTATGAACATTTTTATAAATTTTTGAAACGAATGAGAGTAAAATAAAGATTTATGGGGTAAGTTAACAGAAATTTCTTTTGATCAATAAAAGTCGATCATGTAATCCAGTATTTGTACGTAAATAGATAAATTAATTAAATAATTACTGTGTGCACTCTTACGCTACCAATTGTTCTTATTCCTCTAAAAATAAGCGCTTTTTTGTGAATTTTTCACCTAAGCAATTTATATTATATAGTCATGTTGATATAATTATCGATTATTACATTTATTTATAAAATAATAAAAAAATTTGAATTTATTTTACAATAAGCAAAAAATTTTCAGTAAGTTGGTTATTTGTTGAATGTGACTTTACACGAAGAATAAAACAAAGAAGGCGTCATATTCCCAAAAATCTATGTCAAGAAGATACTTTAATGTCTCAAATATTTTTCAAATCTGAAGATACTTTAATGGGATATAGTTTAATAAATAAAAATGAAAATTACTATTAATTATCATGTGTAATTTCTTACTTTACTTAGCATTGAAATTTTAATATTTAATACATATTTGCAATCTACATAAAGTTATATCAATTTCTTTATAATCTGAAATACTTCATAATCTTTTATAGAAAATTGATCTTCGGTATCCCTTATCTTTTTTTCATAATGAGTCTTTTTGCAATATATTAAAGTGTAATCTGTTGATCCATTTGGTGAATAGTTATAAATATCGGTACCTCCAAAACGTGGTCCATTGAAACAATGATAATACAATGCATTATCTATATTCTTAACGTTACTCAAAATCGCATCCTTAAAAAAGTTATCCTTATTTTTAAAAGAAAATATAAAACTGTCTTTAGTTTTACCCCAAGTATCATTATATTTCCATGTTATAGGATTATAACCTCCTAGAATCTCTTCTGTTCCTTTTACTTTAATAATTACAACAGTGTTAGGTTTATTATCGCATAATTCATGAAATTTATTAGAAGTAAATCCATCTCGACTTCCTCGTAGTAATAAATTGAATTCATAAGGTAAATATAGGTCTCTAACATTATTAACATATACTTTATCAATCCATTTTGAAATTAAGGAAGCAATCTTTAAATTAATGATTTCTGAATCAAAATTTCCAATTCTAGGAAGTAAAATGTTATAAGGTATTTTACTTTCAGGATCTAAATGGTATGTTAATAAATTTTCATATAATTGACGATTTAAAAGCTTTTTATATGGGCGCACTTTTTGTAAGAATACTTTAGATGACAAACTGAAAAATCTGATCAAAGGAAGATGCTGTTGTAAAGTATTTTCCATCAATTTAAAACCATCATCTGTCCAAGTTGCAGGATCTGGATTAAGAGTTGGATTTTGTGCAAGACCCCATTTTAATACATGTGCCCAAATTTCTTCTTCACTCATTTGTAAATCGTCTCTTTTAATAAGTGATATTAAAGATTTTTCAGGAAGTGAAGTAAAATCAAGTGATTCAAATATCTTTTCAGGTGTTTTAACCATTAAATCCGTACAAAATTGTTGAAGATATAATAAATTTATTGATTGAAAACTTGCTTTATGAGTAAATTCAAAATGTTGCTCCATCCATTCAGTTTCATTTTCAATTAAATGCTTTTGTAAGTAGTCAACAAGTTCTTGAAGAAGCAAGTCATCAGCAGCCACCAAGAGATTAAGGATTTCTGAAGCGTCATGCTCATCAAGTGTAAGAACGCCGCCATAAATATATCTACATCATTACAAAGAAAGTAAGAAATACGTAATTAAATATTTAAAAAATTTATATAAATGTATAAATCGATGCTTAGTTAGTTCACCTTACTTTAAAATAATTTGAAAGGATTTTGAAGATATATTTGGCATCTTCAAATGAGCCAAGTTATTATCATGATTTTGTTTTTTTGAAGCCAAAGCTCGTCGTAAATATGGAGAACGAAAACACAAAATATTCATGTGCGCACGGAATATTTTTACATTAGGGTCTTTACCAACTTCCACAGTAACATCATAAAATTCATCATCATCCAGTAATTCGATGTAATTTTGACTTAACTTTGACAAAAATTGTGTAAACATTTTTTTTTATCAAATTTTGAGACGGAATAAGGCTGAAATTTTTTTTTGTCAATTTTTTAAGTCGATCAGTAATTAAATAAATATTCCGCAAATTTTACGCCGATCTTTTCTAATTATCTTACCGGTATTACGAAAAGGAGTAGATTCATGTGGGGTGATGATTAGAGTTTATCACGTGCTATGTGTTTTGTCGAACTGAATTGTTGAGTTAGCATTAATGCTTGTAGATTAGGAATGAAATCAGCATCTACTTACTGACTTTTCGTATCCGAAAATAACAAAAATTTCATTATTTTTAATTATGGATGTATAGTCACGTTTTATTCCGAGAAAATTATTTGATTTTTGTATTTATTATAAAATAGAGCAGTAAAACAAATTTTAATTTATTTAATTATTACATACATGCAAGCAATTGTAAAATGGTAAGAAATTTTTAAAGAGTGTAATTGTTTGGGGAGTGAAGATGGAAATTAAGAAAAATAATACAACTAATGCGTCATATCCTCACCAAAAAAAAAACCTTTGCCAATAAGATACTTAATGTCCCAATTATTTTTCAAATCCGAAGATACAAAAATAATTATATAAATGGGATATAGTTTTTTAATGACAATATCATTTAAATAAAGATGAAATTTACTATTAATTATTATGCGTAACTATAGAAAATTACCAAATACAGCACGTGAAAAATATTTAAAACAAGATTTCATTTCATTTCTTGCTTTATTTAACATTGGAATTTTAACATATTTAATACATATTTGCAATCTACAAAAAAAGTTACATTGATTTCTTTATAATGCCACCCGTTATAAATAACCAATCACCCGCAGAAAAATACGACAGCGCAATTCAAATTCGTTTGTGCTGCTACCTACGCAGTGGACTCTCAATTTAATGATTCTCAAAATTAACGTGTTCAGAACTAGAAAATATATATTCATGCGACAATATTACCAATAAAAGCTACCATGATTATCTGATAATAATGATTTAATATTCTTAACGATACACTGCAACTTAAAAATATTTACTCGTCAAATTATTACAGAAATTTTATTGAAATATATCATTTTTTTAAAAAAAAAAAAATAGAAAAGGTTTTTAACCCATGAAAAATTTCTCCTGAACATTTTTTCAATGACTTAATTTACGCTGCATATTGCAATCTAATGTTTTAATAAAGAACTAGAAAAAACGATTCAATGTAAAAAAAAAAGTTGAACAATTAAATAAATAATAACAAAAAATATTTTACCATTATAATCGTAGATATTGCCTCAGAAATTCTGCTTCATTTCTTTAACAAAAGGAGTTGTACTAATAGTACTATAATTTAAGGTCTCAACTTCAATGGTTAGCATGCCAGAATTTCCCATAGTTCCCTTGTAAAGTAAATCATCACTTAGGACTCCGCAGTAAACTTTATTGTCCCCTTCATGAGGAAGTTTATGGTACATCTTGTCATATAATTCTAGACCAGTTTTAACGGTTAAATATTGTGATGTTATGTTTGGAGGAGCGAGCCCTTGAAATTCTTACCTTGATTAGCTCTGACACGACCTTTATATACTTTTAAGTTCCACCAATTTGAGTAGAAGGCGTAATTAAATGGGATGCTCCACTTAAAGGCCAAGGATTCATTACGATCTTTGAGATGGTACACAATGACTCCTACAGTTCCTGCAGCTACGCTAGCAACCTTACGAGCTCCCCAAACCAACCCTTTATCACTTGAGAGTTTTGTAATAGGAAGCAGGTAATTGGATTTTCCATATTGAATATATACTTCAGGTTTCTCAAAACTATTTCTGGCGAAAGATTTTTGATGGCAATAGCAACTTTTCTGTTAACTTCGCCTAGTTCCTGTATGTAAAACAAACAAAAAAAAGTTAACTAAAAAAAGCCAATTCAAAAATTTTTAATAATTGATGAATAATAATTACACTTTTAAGAGATTTTTTATCAAGGAAGGAGTAATTTCCGAAACATCGAGAATGCCTGCTATCATGATTGAAATTTAACAGTAAAAGTGAGAAAAAAAAAATTTTTAAACGTTTTTAAATATTCCGGTCGTATGATCATGTTGTGCGACAAAGAACATCAATGCATTTAACATTTGTAGTTACCTTATCGAAAAAAAGTTCATAATGACGATTGATTTATTACGATTACTCATACTTGATTCAGAATAGTTGAATAGAATTAGTTAATATCTCAAAGAAAAGGTATAAAGAGAATTTGGAGATTTACTATGTATTCGTGACTCGACTTTTAATATGGAGAATCAATTTTTTGGCTTTATCGCATAACCAAGAATTTACCGAGTTTAATTATGCACTTTTTCCTTTCCCAAATTGCACCTGTAATTATATTTATAATTTCTACCACCATTTTTTTTTTATGTATTTTGTACATATCGTACAAATCGTCTCATTAAAATTTTTCTTTGCGTGATGTTTTGCGTGATTATAATTGTTTATATTCGTCATATCCTTGATCAATATCTGATCTCTCGTCTGGTTTTTGCTTACAACATTCAAATTAAATAAGTAAATTAATGATTAGATTTTAATAGTTTGTAATAAAAAATAAACCTAATAATAATAATTATGCTTACGATAAAGCTTAACAAATTTAGCATTTGTGGGTTGAAATTGGCTTTTCTTTACGCCTATAAGAATTTCACTCAAAAATCTTTCATATTTGCAAGGCGACCACACAATTAATTGAATAACAAAATATATATACAAAACTTTATAAAATTCATTTCTTTCGTAGAACTTTTAATTGCAAGTTTTTGGGTACTTTTCAATATACAGTATAAATCGAAAAAGTTCTTCCTGAACCAATTGTGGAAAAACTTAAAACCTTGAGATATATGATAACATACGCCGGACATGTCGCATTGGGGTGAGCGGTCAACTAAATAAATAAAAACTATATATGGACCCCTATAAAATTACTATTGAATTTTTTTTTTCATGTATACATAACGATAAATGTCGATCCCGTTATATTTTTCCGAATGTGGCAATTTAAAAATTTTAACTTATAACGTATATACATACATGTACATTATTTATTTATTACCTAATAAACAATTAAAAAGATGTGATGCAATTTCTTCTCCAAATGATGGTGATTGCTTATCTTGAAGCGGAATTTGTTTTTCTTTTTCTCTTCTTTGAACACGAATTTCTTTAAGACCTGCAGATAAATCCTCTTTTTCAATCTTACCCGAGGCTAATCGAAGTTTTGATTGTTTAAGAAATAATGACATATTCGCATGAGTTTTTAAATCTAATTTATGGAAAAGTCCTTCGACCTGCTGCTGATGTAACGAAATTGTAGAGATGATGAAATTTATATAGTATAGGATTATCGGCCTTGCAAAATTCTTCAAATTCATCATCAAATTCTTTTATCCAATACCATTTCTTTTAAACCGAAAGTATCATTAATTCCACAATTAATATCATTTTCTAGGTCTTTTGCAATCATTAATTCCCTATCTGTAGGCGTTTTATTCCAGTCTCTTTTTAAAATTATAAAACGAAAACTGTTGGCAAATGAATGTGCAGAGTTTCCACCTAGATGGCAAATTACTAGGAGTAAATGAAGCCATGGATTAAACCATTTTTCAAATATTCATAGGCTTTATTCATTCCACTTTCCAAATTATTAAAAAAGTCTTCAAATTCGTCATTTGGCAATGTTTCAATAGCTTCTAATAATTCATCAGCGAAAAACATATCTACATTGTTTTAAGATAATCAAAACTTTCCATTCAAAAACTTTCTCTGGCATTTCATGTGCTCATCTTCCAGAAGGTAATTGAACCAACTTTTCATTTTGTATAATTCGTAAATTAGGATCCCTACCCATTATAAATTGTATTAATGGTTCATAAAAATGCTCAGCGAAATGTTTAAGCATTTTATTTGAATGTTAATTAATGGATTAGATAACCATGATTCAAAAAGACGCCTTTGGTGTATTATGATAATTTTCCAATTGAATAATAAACCAACGAGCAAATGAAAAGTGAGTTTTACATCAATTTAAGTATTACTTAGCTGTTTTTAATTCATAACACATTGAGAATGAAGTGGAAGCTGATACTGGTTTTAATAAAATCCCATTAAGCCATTATATAAATTCTTAATTATTGATGCATTAATATTTAGAGGTTTGTCTTTGTCGCTAGAATTGTAGCTATCATGTAAATGCCATGATAGATATAAAAGATTATATGGATGTAATTATTGTGAGAAACTTGCCAAATGCTTCTTGTTCAAAATGATTAAGAATAATTTGCATAATATGAAGGTTGCAACCAATTTGAAAGGCATTTATATCAGTTTTTTTTATTAAAAAGAAAAACAGCACTATTTTTATCACTTGATATATAGTCTGTATTATCAGTAACCTATAAGATACATTTAGCAATATCAAGACCATTCTCTAAAAATGATTGAATAATCAGATTAAAACTGTTTTACTATTAAACCTTGGAATATTTTAAGACTTGATATAGTAACAATTAGAGTTTGTTCTTTTTCACTCTACACTTGATAGTAAAGAACTAAATTTTTAGTTTCATCACAAGTAGATTTATTAACAATGATTTCAAATACTGATGCATTTGTAATTTGAAAAATTTGAAATGAAATATAACTGAGAAAGATCTTTATATCGTGTGTGTAATGTTGAAGTTAATAGCCAATTTTGTAAAGGCTCTTCAGTTAAAAATTCATAAATAAACTTAGTTCATTCAACTATACAATATATTGATATTTCTCTAATTTGTGCAATACTAGATGCAAGCCAAATTACATTGGAAGTATATTGTTATTTATTGATCATAAAGAGAGATTAAATCTTATCTTTAAATATAGCATCTGATATTTTTGAAGAATTTTGAACTAGAGACCAAATTTCAGAGATATGCTATGATTTTTGATCATGCAAATATTCTACTTGAGCTTCAAGTGATTTTATTCTTTCAATCAACTTATTTGTTTGATTACAAAACCTTTTATTTTCTAATTCTAATTGATTAATTTCATCTTTTAAAAATTCGTTTTCTTGATGATGCTTATAAAATTATTAGTAATAATATCATATACTTTATCTTGAAGATATGATAATAGAATTTTTCCTGCATTTAAATTGCCTTCTGTATAATGCATAATAGCAATAAGATGATTGGCTACTGAAATCTCTTTATCAAACAATTTTTAAACTGCAGCTATTAATTTATTTCAATAGCTATTAACTTGGTTTATCTCATCATTATTTTTCTTCTATTTTAATTTTTATACTAAATTTCACATACTCTTTACAACTAATGAGCATATTTTAAAATAAAGACATTCTCATTAAAAAATTTGAAATCTTAAAAATTTAATAACTTTACATTCAGTTAGTATTTAAAGAATATAAAAAGTTAAATAAATACATATAACTTATAATATAATGTAACACCTCGCTTTTTAAAAAAATAATAAAAAAAATTTTTACTTAGTAAAGTATAACTAAAACAATGTTTTTATTATTTTTGAAGCATAAATTATTTTTTTTTAAAAAATGAACTTTTATATGAAAAAAATAGTGATTCTAAATATTTTCGAAAAGTTTGAAATATAAAAAATAAAAAGTGTTCAAAGTTATAAAAGTTTATAATTGCATGAATTTAATAAGAAATTTATTATAGAACTATATTTTAAATATACTTCAATATAAAAAAATTACAATATTAAATTTTATATGGATCTATATATAGTTTTGATTCAATTATTTGACTGCTCACCCTAATATCACATATTGATCATAGCAAATAATATTTATATAAATGTTAATCAGTTGATCGACATAATTTTATATGCATTTTTGCCACTTTTTTGACTTTGTGTATAATACAACTATGCAATATTACTAATGTTTTAGAATTTCTATCTCATAAGAATTGTTCGTTCACTTCTCAAAACTATTTTAATAAGTTTTAAAAATTGAACAGTTTGATAATTTTAATATGCTAATTTTAATATGTAAAAGTATTATAAACAATTTTTATATAAAAATATATTGAACTGACCTAAGGTTTGTAATTTTATTATGATTTTTTTTGACTTTAAAAAGCTTTTCTTTTATTATTTAAAAAAGTACAATACTAAAATAAAAATTTATATTATAGTTATTTCATATATTATTATAATAGAATATTAATTAAAAATAATAATTTATTTAAATTTTTTATTAATAGATAAAACTATTTAATATATCAAATTTTTTTATAAAATAATTATATTTTTCAAATAAAAGTTATCTATTTTTAGTTTTGGATTAGTTTTTAAATATTAAAATGACAGAAAATATTATTAATACTTAATTTATTTTTCAAGATATTGATACTTTTTAAAAGATCATAATTCATTTGAAGCTATTCATTAATTACTACAAGTAAGGTTACTAGATGAAACCTAAAGGTTTTATAAGTCGTTTAAATAGAATAAGATAAAATTTAGTGAAATTATATTAAAATCTTATTAAAAAATCTGCAAAATTCTAAAAAAGGTAAAACTATATATCAAAGCTTATAAAAATGGTAAACTATATCAAAATCTTAGTAAAAAATTAGCAAAACTATAATTAAACATTTTGCTAAATCTAAAATGAGTTTAGACAAGTAACCTTAACTACAAGATTTAACAAATAGTAGTGAAAATAATAATAATAGTGAAAAATTAGAAAATGATTTAGCAACTTTATCTATTAATGCAGAAAGTATAAAAGTATAGAAATAGAATAAGATATAAATATATTACAAATAACAGAAAATAAAAAAATCTGCTTTATCTGCTTTTGTAGTAATAGATATTATTGATAGACAAATAAAAGTTGTGAAGAAAAAGAAAAATTACGGGGATTATGATAATTAACTGAAATTTGACAATTAGATAAATTATTAATAGAAGAAGTAGAAAAAATTTAGATAAATTAGGAGTTTATTATAGTCATTTTATGCTTGATCAAATTAATTATATTCAAAAGATACTAAACAATTAAAGATATATCAGAAAGTTTAATACATCTTAGATATTATTTATATTGTAGAAATAATTATTACTTTTTTAGTTATAGTAAATTTTGTATAGATCATTCTTAGAAATTAGTAGAAAAATATATATAAGTTCCTTATATAAGTTAAAAAAATTGCAAAGCAATAAAAGAAATTAATTTTATTATAAATTAAGCACAATTAAATTATATAGCATAATATATTTATTGTAAATGTTATGAAAAAGAAGGTGGGTAATTATATAAAAAACCTGGATAAGGTAAAAGGTAATTAGTTGTCATAATGAAGAAAAATATGAACAAGATCCAATTACTTCATTAAAACTTATAAGTAAATGAATTACATTAATTGCTTAAGAAAATGATACACTATTACAATTAAAAATTTTAAACTTTATTATACTAGCTTTACAAAATTAATGATCAAACAAATCCTATTACATCAATTTAAATATCATCTCAAATAACTTCATTTCAAATATTATCTAAATTATTACTAAGTTCATTTATTATAAAATAATATTTATATTAAATAATATTAAAATAAATGATTCTAATGATTCTAAAATAATTTTACCTGAAGAATATTCATAAATAGGAATTAATTTAGTCAAAAAGTTTAAAAAATTTTTATATAGAAACTAATAATAAAAAATAATTATTAGAATCATCTAATTCTTTAGATAAATATTAATTAGTACTTTCTAAATCCTTATATTTTTTATTTGAAGGATTAATAAGTAAAATATTAGAATATAAAAGAGAAAAAGCAAATAAAAATAAATAAAAAGAAAAAAATTAGTAAAAACACTTAATTAAATTAAAATTAAAAAAAACTAGTATATATTTAACTTCTATAATTCTTTCTTATTCAAAATAAAGTAAAATATTAGTTACTAATAATGCTTTCTAGTCTTTATAGTAAATTTTATTTATTATTTAATTATATTAAATTCTTCAATCTGTTAATGTAGTTTCACATACTAATAAACATAAAAGACGTTTAATAAATCAAATAATATCAATAACTAATCCAACTTTACTTTTAAAAAAAATAACAAAATTTGAAATATTTATGTTATTGATAATATTGATGTTAAAAACAAATCCTTTACTTTAGTAATATATATGATATAATAAGATCAACTTTACACGCTACTTTAAGAATGGTATTTTAATTTGAAATACTAAAAATTATTAAACCAATTGAAGATAATATAATATAACTTAATAAATCAATATATTTATTTAGTTTAAATCAACTTGTTAAATAGACTTTAATTAGATTTCAATTATTAATTAATCATTTTCTTAATTATAAATAAAAAGAAGATAATTTAATAAAATATAATGAATTTGATTTAAATATTATCAATACAAAAATAATTTAACAAATAAATATTAGTATATATTATTTATCATCACATATTATAATACTTAAAGCAGAAGAAAATCCTAATAATGATAAAGAAATATTTACCTCTTATGAAAAATATATTAAAAATTTAGAATTAATTGAAAATCAATCTGTAGAAATCTGTTATAATAAAATAAATTTTCGTAAAATTATTAAACTTCATCAAAAAAATTTAATAATAAACCTCTTTAGAATAATAGCATACATCAAAGATATATATAATATACTTTTAACAATCTTTTTAAATTATGAAATTTATAATCTTGCTGCTGTATTAGATATAAATTTTTAGATAAATTAGAATTAGTAGTTGATTATCATTCTACTTGTCAAGTATTAGATTTAATATAGTTATCTATAGCTTATATTATTCAAATTTATATTATAAATAAAGGAATATATATTTTGCAAATAGAAGTAGAAAATAATAATTTACTTAAAATATAGTATAATTTTTATAAATGATGCAGTTGGTAAAAAGCTTATTAAGTAAGTAATAAAAAATATAAATATGCAATTTAAATGTCTTACAACATTTACTTCACTATTTCTAGTTGCAAAAAAACTAAATTACACTAAATCAACAGTTTATTTTTTGGCTTTACTTGTAAAATATTCATGACTTAAAGAATTATTACATTATGCTAAATCTATTAATTAATAAGAGAAGGTTATTATTTAGTATTTAATGAAGCACTTGAAACTTTTAAGTATAATTTATAAAATAAAATATTATAGGTAATATTATTATTGAAGAAAATTTAAAAAATCAAATTAAATCAGCATAGAGAAAGAGAAAGAATAGAATCTCTTAAAACATTTACTTTTTAAAAATAATAGTCAATTAAATTATGAAGATATCAAAAATTATATAATATAGGATTAGAAAGATTAAAAGTAATATATAAACAAAAAATATTATAAATAGAACTAATTAATATTAAAGAAAGAAAAGCTAAAAAGATAATAGTTAATAAAGTTAAAGATATAAAAAAATCTGAAAAAGAAATAAAAAAAAGATAAAAAAAAAAATTAACAATTTAACAAAAAAACATTTAATAATATCTATTTAAAAAGATAATAATAAATCAATAGTAATTAAACAGTCATCTTCCTCCTCAAAATATGTCAAATCTAAATATTAGAAATATTGAGTATATTTCTAAATCATTATCAAAAAAAATAAAAGTAACATGTCATCAAACTACTCAGATAAAGAAAGATTTATTAATACTATTATTAACATCAAATTCACCTACAGAAGAAGAAATAGAAGAAATTTTAAAAGAATCAGAGCAATTTTGAAATGGATAAACAAAAAAGAAAATAAGAGATTATTAGAATTATTATAAACTAAAATTATAAATATAAATAATATTAAAAAATATATTTTCATATTAGCAATTATATATAACAATAAAAATTAAATTTATTAAAAAAATATACTTTGATTTTTGCAATATTATATATAGAATTCTCTTTCTAATAATTGTTTTTTTTCCTTTTATATAGTCTATAATTCAAAGCAGAAAGAACTTTATTTTATTCTTTCCTATAATATATTAATTTTAAATTAATAAAAAATATATTTGCCACTATTTTTTTATATTATTTAATAATAATTCTTAAACTTCTACATATTTTTTAATGATTTTTATTAATATTATCTATTTAGCTAAAATGAAATAATTCAAGAAAAAAGATAAAATTACTTACTTTAATAAAGTTTTATTTCTACCAAGTTATATTTAAATTCAAAGCATTTATTAAGAGCTTGTTACCATAAATTTTTATAATTTAGAAATTCTTTTTTATTATTTAAAAAATCAATTTTTTGTATATTACATAAAATCCAACTGAACAACATATACTATAACTTAAGAAAATATGCTTCCTTCCATAAAATTACATATATTTTTATTGTTAAAGTTGTATATTTTTTATTTACTTGTAAGAAGATCTTTAAAATACTTATTTTTAAAGCAAAACTTTGCTTAAATGTAAAAAAAATAATCGCCTAAAAGGAAAATTAATGGTTAAAATTGATTGATCATATGATGATCTATCAATTTCTTAATTAATATTAGTGGTAAGTGTAACATTTTGCGATAGTTAACTATAGAATAAAAGTAATTCAATTATAATTACACGAATTTTTTTAAATATCTGCATGCGACATGTCCAGCGTATAATAAGAACTTTCTGACGGACATAACTTTACAGAAAGAACTTTAAAGTTTATATCATATTCTATAATTGATCACTAATCAATGTATAATAATTCTGTAAGGGTTTATTTCAATTTTTATAAAATATTAATCTTTTTCGTTTGAATTTAGAAACTTTCTATCATACTAGTATACAATTTTATCACATAACTTTTGAGGAATACAACTGATATGATTCTTTAAATCTTTTCAATCTCTAAATGTTCCTCCATTTTCTCGTTCTTCAATGATCAAAGTCGCATACTTAACGCCAAAACCACGAGCCTGTATTAATTCAGTTAACATAAAATAGTTAACATTTACCTTCTTATGTTCTAGCAAATGTATTGTTCTCTCTACTAATAACTTTCCAATATATTTTTCCATCATACATTTATTGTAAAGGTTGGAACAGCCAAAAATTCTTTAACCAGTTAATAACTGGTTAAAATTAACTTTGATCAGTACTATAAATTTGGCCAGAGTTTTGCAATCATAAAAATCTTAATTCTGGCCGAAAATTGAATAACACAAGCAACCAGCGATTATTATATTCAGGGAGATATTTTGTTATAGCATCATGAATCTTCTGTATCTCTGCTTCAATGTCTTTCTTCATTTAAGCATTGTTCACCAATTCTTCTAATTGTAAAAATATCTGCAAATTCTGCTGAGTTCCCATTAATAATCATCGGGCTCGTCTCACATTTCCAATTTAGAGTTTTTCCAGTACGTGAATCAGTGATATGTTTCTTTCTTGGAAATTGTTCCATGGATTTATAAACCTTAACATCTTGAGGTAAGACTATATCAGGCAAAAATCGTCGCTTAACGTTGAAATAATCAGACAAATTAATAGTTGTAGGTTCGTTATCGCTATAAAATGCGAATTCTTTTTCACGTTGACATAGAAGCATTGTCTTAACAGACTCAAAAAGAGCGACAAATTCTTGCCATGTTAGTTGACTTTGGTTGCTTATGTTTTTACCACCACCATTCACTAGCATTTTTCTAAGTAAAGCTATCGCTGGATTCTTCAGACATTTTGATTTAGCAGAAAGCCATTCGAGAAGAAGAAAAGGCATTGTAACAATATCTGCATCATTTTGTTTTATAAGTAATACACCTGCTCGAGATTCAAGATCACCATAGGTAGTAGATGAATTCACAGTGTCATCAATCAATTGATTTCGACATACAGGTGTTTGAAGGATGACATCCTCAATAAATTTAACAGCAAATGGATCAGCACCTTCTGAATAACGTCTATATACATAGGTTTTAACTGCAGGCAAAACATCCTCCTTAAATGGCCATTCTGAAATTGTTATAGAATTTTTGAAAAATGGTAGGCATTTTATAATAAATACTTCAAAAATCCGTGGAGACCTCCAACATCCGCTAGAGAAATACGAAATTCTTTGCATGTTTCCATTCTACCGAGAATTTCAACAATGTAAGAATTTCAGTACGTTCGACTTCGGTTAATGGTAATAAATTCATTAATATCGTAACATGTGAGATCTTACAAAAGATAGCATTTATTGTAGTAACCATCGTTCTTGCCATCAGGCCTATCACAGTGTATACTCAGATGACACTTCCAAGAATTTGGACTATATTTGTTAGAAATCTACGGCCTCTATCTTTTCAAAGGATGTTATAATTTGATTAACTCATCAATCGATACAACCAATAGCCATTTGTCTATAGATCGAATATTTAACCCTTTGCATAAAATGGAAATTGCTTCCCTGAAAGTAATATCGTACTTAAATCCTTCTCTTTTTAGATTCACAACAAACTCGATATACTTTCTTGATGGATTCACAAATGCAAAATGCAAAAGTTGTAAGCTTAAAGATTTTTCTGCCCCTAATTGCAAATTTAAATCAGAAGGTGTATTCCCATTATTATAAGATACTATTATGAGGTCGACCAAGTCTTTTAAAAATCCCGGAAAACTTTTTCTAATATGATTAACACATTCAATTAACAATCTACTTTTTCCAATCCCTGGAACACCCGTCACCAAACCAACTGGATGACAATTACAATCGATATTTTTTGAGCAGTTGCGCATCAAATAACTCTTTTAATAAAAGCGTTGATGCATCATTTAGACAGTATTCAAAGGTAGTACAATAGGATTCAATGAGTTGTTTATTCAGCTCAGATCCAGTTGTGGGCTTAGGGTTCGCCTATGCTCATATTTAGTCCATAACCATTCCCATCCCCATTCCTGAAGATCTAGACACTCAAGATCTTCTCTCATTTTTAATTGATATCTGTTTATTAACGTGATCCGCTAATGATATTAACAAAAACTTGATGATGGTTGTGGTAATGCTGCCGCTGCTTGCTAGGGTGGTGATTATGGTGTTGGTACTACCGCCGCTGCTTTGTTAGGTTGTGGTGATGATAGTGTGGTATTACTACCACTGTTTGCTAGTGTGTTGTGATACTTCTGCCGCTACTTGCTAGAGTTGGTGATTATGGTTGTGGTATTACTGCCGATGCTGCTTCTGCTGTTTGTAATTATAGTACTACTGCCGCTGCTAATTATAATGAAAGAAAAGTTTGTTTTAAAAAAAAAAAAAGGTTTGAAAATATTTTTTTTTAAAAAAAAAGTATGAGGGTATATAATTTTATGTCATGTCTAAAAAAGTTTATATCATAAATTTTCTGCTTCACCACGTGAAACGTGAAGTCATATGATGATCGCTCGATACGATAAAATCATCCAATATAATGTTACAGGTGACATGTTCTTTTGGACATATTTAATATTTTCTTGAAAAGGTATTCCT